TCAACAGGATCTTCGTCCTATTTCCCTGACACCCTCTTTATCCAAACTAGCCGAAGAGTTTGTGGTAGAGGAATTCTTCGCTCCTGCCATACTCGGTATTGTCGATCCTGCTCAATTTGGTAGAATTCCACGCTCCTCACCAACCCTGGCTCTCATTGACATGCTTCATAACTGGACTAAGGCAACGGATGGAAACGGCGGTTCTATTCGAGTTGTTTTATTCGATTATCGAAATTAAGGCGTTCGACCTAATCGACCTACTTCCTATTCCTAACTCTGTTAAGAACTAGGTACTAGACATCCTGATGGACAGAGAACAACGAGTCAAGTTATCCAACGACTGTCTCTTGGAGTGGGGTTCAGTACCCTCTGGTGTTCCTCAGGGGACTAAACTTGGCCCATGGTTGTTCATACTAATGATCAACGATCTTCGCCGAACAACCGCCCAAAACTGGAAGTAGAGACGACACCACAATCTCCGAGACCATACCCAGAAACGGCTCTAGTAACATCCAACACGCAGCCCATGAAGTTCAAAGTTTGTCTGTGGCAAATCCTCTTCAATTGAACCGTTCTAAATGTAAAGAACTCCTAATTTACTTTGGGAAAACTGATATCAACTTTCCAAGAGTCCGTTTTTATAACGAAGACCTTGAACTGGTTACCAGCGCGAAAATCCTTGGTCTTACCATTAGAAACGATTTTAAATGGAATGACCACGTTGAGAACATAGTCCAAAAAGCCAATAAACGCTTATTCTTTATCATTCAACTCAAACACGCCATTATTCCCGCCCTAGACATTATATCATTTTACAAATCGTGTGTCAGATCTGTTCTGGAATTTAGTAGTCAAGTATTCCATTACGCTTTACCTAAATATCTGTCTAATGCTATCGAACGTGTGCAAAAGCGGGTGCTGTCTATTATTTATCAAGACGCGAATTACGAAGCCAATCTTATACTCAGTAGTCTCACCTCCCTACGTGACAGACGGGAAAACGCTTGCATTAAATGCATATCAGGAGCAAAACACAAAGAAAAATCATAAGCGTGTCGTGGTTTTATATGTGATAAAAAATCATGTTAATTTACATAAACTTTAGCTTTGATTTTCTCGGTTTAGACAAAGTTTATTTTAAAAATTACTTCGCTAATGTACTCATCAGAAGATGGGTCGTTTTTTAAGCCATTTAAAGCACTCGTAGTCGTGTTTTATCACATATAAAACACTCCGCTACGCGTCGTGTTTTATCACATATAAAACACTCCTATTCGTGCTTTAAATAGTATATATATATATACTACTATTGTTTTGTTGTAGTAGATAATAAAGTGCTCAACGCTAGTATTATAGTAGAGCAAGATATATTTATATCTTAAAATTAATTATTGCTACTCAAGTTTCACACCTTATTCAAGACCTTAAATTACGCAATTCGGCTTCATAAGGCCGCTATGTAATTTCTCATTAATAAATCTATCTAAATCTATCTATCTATCAAATGTCACCAAGTACATTTGCAGTAAAGTTGACGAAAAGTCTTTCGATACACGGGCAAACGATAAAAATACAGATAAGGATTGACTGCGAAATTCAAGTGATACGTTGTATAAAATAAGAAATCGACTCCTCTTTGAGCGACCTTGTTGTTGATAAAATTGTTGCCTAAACCAAGCTGAACATGCTTGTAAATAAAGAGCGGAATCATAGTAATCGTTGCAATGGCACCAATAAATACAATCGTATTTAGAAACCGCTTTTCTTTGAGGACACGTTTCACTTGGCTGCGGTTTTCAGCAGAAGTGGAATTCTGTTGGGCAATGACTTGCGCTTGTCTCTGTAAGGAAAAGTATATCTTAGCGTACAAGATACCAGTCAAAAACGCTAAAACACCGCCTAAAACGTTATACGCAATAACTTCAAAAACAGAAAGTTCGTTGAAAAGACGCAAGCGTATTTCATACAAAACTCCAGTTAACCAAACTAAGATCAAACACAGAGCAATCTTTTTGCTATTCATTAGATGCCGATGTTTTAAAGGATGTTCGACTAATAAATATCTATCAGCCGCAATGAGAACAAGCGTTAAAAGAGATGCACGATTCGCTACTTCGCCTGAAATATTCACTACTAAGAGTTTCCAACTGTTATGCCAACGTCTGTATAGACAAAGTCATCGAATGTGCCAAAAAGCGACAATGTGAAATCAGCTAGGGCCAAATTTGCCACGAGATACGTCTGTGGATTTCTGAAACATTTCAAAGGGTCTTTGATAAAAGCAATAAAGAGCAAAACATGAGCAATTACTCCACATAAACATACGAAATTCTTTGGGATACATATAAGTTCAATATCACTTTCATCAGCCATTTTTTATAGCCGACTAACAACGTAAAATGTCAAAGAATAACATTTTAATAAATTCCCAACACTGGCAAAACACAATACTTACAAACCTTGATATTGCACACTCTAAATGTTAATATTAAACTTTTAATTTCTTATAATAATATAGGTGAATTAGCATCTTTTTCATTACTGAAACGCAATATGAGTTTATGTCAGGTCCGCAAGTATATATATATATATATATATATATATATATATATATATATATATATATATATATATATATATATATATATATATATATATATATATATAT